AATCACCTGGTTTTCCTTAGATAGAAAACTTTGAATCAATCTGACTGGATGATCTGGTTTAAAGTGACCTGAGATGACATGATGTGAATCAGCACTATAGAAATAAACTGAATAGAACTGAATTAAATAGAACAGAACTAGATTTTAGAACTTATAAAGAGGGACATTGCTTTATTCATTAGCTCTGTATATAATGTGATGTTTTCTGGCAAATTTATTCCATTTATAAAAGAAAAGTAATAATTTAAATATTAGAGCAAATAAAACATTTGAAAAACATTCATTCTGAATGTTTTTTTCTAACAAGTTAATTTTTTATATCTGTAAACATAATTTCTTATCAGTTCACATAACAGCCTACATGAACTAATGTCCTCTGTAAAATTTCTAAAGCCTCATACAAATATTTTTTAGACATATGGGAAACTGACATGGAAAACACTTTAATGAAGAGACTTTTATTAATAAAAACGTACATGATACAAAAATGTAGCGTCAAATATACTCATAGATCAGCTTATTCTAGAGTGCAAGTCCATCTCCTGAGGCATCTTTGAATAAAGTGCAATAAAGATAATTTAACTTAAACAATAGGTTTACACTCTGACTAGAATAAAGCCTTGGTAACAACCATTAGGATCTGGGAAAAGATCTATAATTTTCTAAACAGCATGAAGTTATAACATTTCTATATGCAGAGTAGCAGAACTTTCTGTTACTTTCTCTGCTCTCCTGGACGTCCACCTCAGCTCTAAGGTCATCCCAGACCCTCCTGGACAGTCTGAGCACGCCTTCCTTCAGGATGTGCAGCTCCATGTCTGGCAGCAGGGATGTTGGCAGCATTTCTGTTCCAGGAATGTTGCCACAGATGCACCAGCTGGATGCCTGTGGATGAGGAAGTCCTGGTGGAGGGGGATCAGGGGTCAGAGCAGGTCAAATATCAGACTAGGTTCTCCAGTGAGGCACCTTAGTAGAAGCTTATGGCACACCTAGCCTGGAGAACAAGAAAAGAAAAACACACTTTAACGCAACTTTCAAATAAAGCATTTAACAAACTGAATTCATGTGTACAAACATTTTCTAATAATATTAGACGCTGCATTCCAAAATATATATATATATATATATATATATATATATATAT